CCTCTCCATTCGATCAACCGTCAAAATCATATACCTACCTATATAACTACTGTTGACCTCGACTTTCGGTCTCTGTCAACAGTAGTTTTTCGGTTTGCAGTCTCGGTATACAATTTTGCCGGTTGACCTCTGGGGAGGTCAACAATTGTAAACTGTTGACCGCTACTAGGTACTGTTGACCCCTATTTTTTAAAAATTGTTTTTAATGTTGAAATTTTTTTAATTTTGAAAAAATAAGTTGTGTAAAAAATTACAAGCATTCGACGGTTTGGGGATTTTTCGCTAAAATATGATACCTTTACTTATCAAATATGTTCACGTGATATTCGATTATATATTCGTCCAATTATTATATTATTTGGACTAACAGAAAAATTGTTAACCTCTCTTTTCGGTCAACTGGCAAAAGTGCCCTCGACCTCTGGTCTTGATCAACAGTACTTTCAAGGTTTACAGTATCGGTATACAATTTTGCCAGTCGACCTTAAGAGAGGTCTACAATTGTATTATATCCTTCAAATTATTATATTCTTCGGACTAACAAACAATTGTTAACCAATTCGGTCAACTGGCCAAAGTGTATACCTCAACAGTAAACCCTGAAAGAACTGTTGACCTCGACCTCCGAACTTTCAAGGTTTACAATATCGGTATACAATTTTGCCAGTTGACCTCAAGAGAGGTCTACAATTGTATATTGTATATCCTTTGTTATCCCACCCAAAGTATGATGTCATATATCAAGTTGAAGAGTTGTATACGCTGCTCAGGAGTTTACGCTATCCAGGAGTTGTACATCGTTCTCAAGAGTTGTATAGGATGAGTGTTGGTTTAATGATATTGCAGTTATACAATGCTATTATATAAAGGTTATTTACTGAGAGAGATTCAATATTGGTTTTATTCCGAGAGACAATATGATATTTCCCGAGGGCCCGGGATATCTGGGATAACTGTACCCCTATAAATTTACCTTTTTAGGCCCTAAATCTTATCACTTTTGTTTACCTTTTTACTCAGTCGGAGAGAAGGAATCCAAAGAGAGCAATAACGCTACAGGTAGTTTATCACTGTTCCACATGATGATAGATAATTTCCAATAGCTCATCATGTTTACCGAGAACGAAAGATGTTTGTCCACCATTTTGAATGATACTGACTGGAGTCAGGGTCATCAAGCCATGGAACACAGTGGTTTATGAAAATAGATTGGGTTACTAAAGCTTGCCATGTTAAAGGCGATTGAACTATGTTATAGAACAATGTCCAGTACATTATAATATTTAAAAGTATAAATTTGTGAAAATACATATAAAGGATCTTCGCCCGCAGACGTGTATTTTGAATGCCTTGAGAAGAACGCAAATATGGGTAATGGGTAACGGTGTTGCAATAGTAGCATTTAAAAATCTGTTCCTCTCGAGATTTATGGTCTTCTGAAATGATACTATTAATTGGTGTTGCTGCATCATTGCTCAAATCTAGAGGAGTGTTGTTGCATCTTCGGTCTGGTGTTGTTGCATCAATAGTGAGGAACTAAAACCGTGAACTAATTGCTTCTTGGTGATGGTACATGTATACTAATGACAGTTTCTTTAAATATAGATCGTGCGCTAACTGCACGTGTATTGTTATTGAGCAACTCGTCCTAGAAAGGGGTTTAATTGGGGAAACAAAATATCGTACGAAAATCTATCACCGGAAGTCTGGCCATCTTGATGCAACAACACGGTGTTGTTGCATCACGATACTCCCCAGTGATATTTAGCCATTATTTAAATACTTGATATAAAATTGTTTTGACGGGAAATTTTTTGGGGAATTTGCTACTTCGTTGAGTTGCTAATGATTTTTTATAGATGGTCAATAAAATCGAACAGTTGAACTTGAATTACATTTACAACATTTGATTGCTTATATATCAGTAATTGTATAAGTAGCTAAAAGGTCGAGGCTATTTAGTTTTAGTATTTACAGGTTTCTTCAAGCAGAACGCAGTTCATTTACGACAGAATACTATTCTGTGGCTATAATTCTCAATATACTTGCAGCAAAACATACAATACCAAGCCATTAATATAGCATAGTGATAGTACGAACATCTGGATATTAGCTTGGAACGAGAGCTTTAAAGTCAATTCCTTCTGTTAAGGTAGTTGTGTGGTATCGCTAAAACTTTTTTCTACGACAAAAATATATTGCTTTCACTAGGAAACTTCAAGTTCTAAAAAACTGCACAACGCAAATTTTCTTTAAAATATAATTATTCAATGGGAATACAAAAGTATTCATGGTAATATCCATGAGAATTCACAGCCCGGATTTTAAAAAAGAATGAATTTTATGAATCGGTGGGAAAATATTATCATTCCATTATATAATTTATGATTCAACTTGCCAAATAAGGGTCTTGATAAAACAGCGTGTGTCATATAAAAAGAGATAAAAAATGTATTGTGGGAACGTAGTTCAAAAAGGCAGAAACAAAAATAACTGGGATTCGAATACGACACCTCCCAATGACGAATCACGATCGCCACTAGACCAGATTGTGTTGTCCATCGTGATGAGAAATCATTGCAATCACTGAACTGAACTGAACTGAACCACGACACCCTATGCAGACAGAGCCTGTGGGAAATATTGGGTGCGGAGCAAATGAGCGGATGGTGCGGAGCTAACGGTTATTTTTGAATTTAAATTTGGGATATTTCTGAAACTAAGCCGTTTTGGGACTTCAAATATACCAAGGTATGTGTATTTGACACCAAATATCAATACAATTGCGAAAATAGTAGCGCAATTCATTCTATAGCGACGCAGTGTGTCTTAAACCTTTCCCAGACCTATATATTTTGAAATTATCCTTTTAATACTGAGTCCCCAGCATTCATAAAAAATGGTGTTCAAGGTGCACTATCTATACAAATTATTTTTGCATCTTGGAAGCCAGGCAGTATCTGTGTGATTTTATAAAAATTCGGAAATGTTTTCAGATATGAGCCCCCTCTAAATATTGGGTGCGGAGCAGCTCCATAAACGTAGCTCCGCACCCAATATTTAGAGGGGCTCATATCTGAAGAACATTTCCGAATTTTTATAAAATCACACAGATACTGCCTGGCTTCCAAGATGCAAAAATAATTTGCATGGGTAGTGTATCTTGAACACCATTTTTTATGAATGCTGGGGACGCAGTATTAAAAGGATAGTCTCAAAATATATAGGTCTGGGAAATGTTTAAGGCATACTGCGTCGCTATAAAATGAATTGCACTACTATTTTCACAATTTTATTGATACTTGGTGTCAAATACACATATCTTGGTATATTTGAAGTCCCAAAACGGCTTAGTTTCAGAAATATCCCAATTTTAAATTCAAAAATGACCGTTAGCTCCGCACCCTCCGCTCATTTGCGCCGCACCCAATATTTCCCACAGGCTCTGTCTGCATAGGGTGCACGAGAACTTACGCAATAATGAGATTTGAGATGTGCAGACTGATTGCGTAATCGATTCTGGCTTTCATGTGCAGCCAACATCCGATGGCAGCGTCACTGCGGTCTAACAGGGTATTAATGAAAAAGAAATGACGCAATATGTTCAAAGGTTCCAATATACCATTTGACAAATTAGAATCAGAGTGTCAGCTTTGAAGGCCACGCCTTCTTAGTCTTTCTTACCATTTCATAACCATGAATTTATTGAATTACAATTTTATTTTAACATGAAAACCCTATTTTTAAGAATAACAAAAAGGCGTAATTTCAAACTTTATGAAAGGTGGGGTGACAATTTTAAACAAATTGTTGTATTTTCAGTATTTTTCACAGTAACATTCCCTCACTATTTTTATGCTGGAATGTAATTCAGTGATGTATGTGAAGAAGTTGGAATGGCAGTAAAGGTCAAATGTCAAAATCGGTATTTTTGTCATTAATTTAGTAGCCAATTTGAATTGATTTATTAACAATTTAACAATTGCACACTCAAATGAATTGACAACCCCCTGTTCGTGAAAGTACTATTTAATCAACTTAGTAACTACCTGACGGAGTTTCGTTGTTATCATATCCTTACAATAAGCCAATACGCGATGGATTTTTAGTTCAGTTCAGTTTAGTTACCTCACGTTTGAAGAGTTCTCATGAGAGGTACAACTTCGTCTACATCCGGGTTCTTTCCCATTGGATTACACAGGAGTGCGATTTTCAATGCCGCACTACGGCTTTATTAAACATTTATGTAGTGTTGCATTTGCACAAATAATAGATATGTATGATATTTAGATATACATCAAGGCTTTTTGAACTATAATCCCCTAATCCAAAGAAATCTTTAGTTGGTCTTTAAATCTCCGATTATCTTTCTGATTATTGAATAGAATGGATAATGTAACTATGCTCGAGCGCTGGTGGAATATCGGAGGCTGAGAAACTGTCATTTTTGTCAAGATTCAGGCTAGTTTTATCAGAATTTGTTGAAATTTTGTTCGAGCAATCTTCCGCCAATATGATGCTATACATATGCTATGATGTAATCCTCGACCAACGAAATTAGCAGACCTTTGACTTTGCAGTCTCCGGACGTTTTGTTAGAGTAATCGACTCGTTCGGCGAGCCAATGAAAATTTGTCCCTTCCAAAGCGATGCATCATGGGGGATATTTATGTAAATTACCATCTGAACTCTTATCGCGAATATGTCTATTACTTCGTACATTATGCTTTTCCCTTTCTAATGGTATATTCAAACCCTTCCAAATGAAATTGCAGCATTTGACCATTATTTGCTAAACTACATGTTAGCAGCTGCTCATTGCGTTGAAATGATACAGAAACTAATTAAAGTATATAGGAGTGTCAATGTCACAATCAGCTATTGTAATATATAGTTGATGCAAGACTCTATAGCTCATAGGAGTCATTACTACTGATGTCATAAGGAATGCAAACGGCGACTTGTCGGTTAATTCCAACTTAGCAGGCAATGGAGGAAGACACTAATTGGCGGCCGTTGAATCCAAGAATCAATATATCAACAGAAGTAAACGATTACTTTAATCATACATATGGAAATAACGTAATTGTAAAAAACGAAACGAACGATGAGTTTCCGAATGGCACCTATGAGATGTCCATACTGTACGGCAGTCCGGACTTACAGGAAATTTTGAAAATGTCAGAAATGATCGGTAAAAAAATCATGCCTGCAATACTAACGTTAATCATCATATTCGGAGTATTAGGGAATCTACTCGTGATTTGCGTTATACTTAGGGATAAATTTATGAGGAATGGATCTTACCTGATGTTCCTAAATTTAGCAATGGCAGACATGCTGTACCTTGCTATTTGCCTCCCTGCTTCTATCTCTGAATCTGTGCGGAGTCGTTGGATCCTAGGGGAAACCATGTGTAAAATTGTACATTTTACAGTTGATGTCTCTGTGTACGTGAGTATTTACACCTTGGTGCTGATTTGCCTTGCGAGGTTCCTTGCGGTTGCGTTTCCGGTACAATTTTCCAGTTCACAGACCCTGTCCTGCTCAATCACCGCATGTGCAGTAGTTTGGATAGTTATGTTGGCTGCAAACATTCAAGTTCTCATCCGAGCTAAACTGCAACCCATTCGACCTGACCTACCAAACAGCGACGAGGTGCATTGTTTCAAAACAAATAGTGATGATGAAACGAAAAAAGTAGTTCTACATTTTTTCATATTTGCTTACGCCTTGCCACTGGTCTTCATCACTGTTTTAAACGGTATCATCTTTCTTCACCTCCAGAGTGCCGCCACAGGTGATTACTTGAGCCTGGCCACAAGGAAGCGTAGAAAAAGATTTCGACAGCTTGTCATACTCGTTATTATTGGCTTTGCGGTCTGCTGGGGTCCTATCAATATAATGGGAATGATCCAAACACATGGCTCTGTTCATATGTCTCGTGTTTGGACGATTCTTAACACGGTATCTAATTGTATGGCCTACGCTAACTCTATGATCAACCCCATATTCTATAACATTGGGTCGTCGGATTTTAGACGGGCCTTCAAAGACCTGGTACAAAAATGTCGCTCGTGCGGATGTGAGAGCTCTACTGAAAGTAACGTCCTGGTTGTTGTTGCGACTGTAAATAAAGACAAAGCGCGAAGTAGTTCCGACAATCCAAGTGATCTAGGAATGGCGTCCAGCTCAGTGCCTAGCAGGGTCTCAATGCCTACGCTTTCCAGTACATCAGTTTAATATGAAGACTGAATATACCATATTCACGGTGTATAACCCAAACGCTCCTACATGCACGACGGAGCGTTTCATTACTGAAATTAAACAAAGAAACGCTCCGAAGTAGGAAAACTGGCTGGCGGGAATGATGAGCCGTCTGACGATTTCCCCAATAATGGGAATAAGAGGTATGAGTTACATATTTCGAGTATACCATTCGATGGGTGTGATATTCATGTTGTACTTGGCTGGCTGTTGACGTTTGAAGCAATTAGGAAGAGCTGTACGAAGCAGTATAGTTATCAAAATCCAAAAACGTATTTGTCATTCTACCGGTCAAAACCCCTTTTGTCGATATATGTGATTAGTTGAGCCAAGATTAGAGCACCAACGTTTATTTTAGTCAAATTCCAATGCTTCAACGCACCATACATTATCGTAATAGTGATTTGATGACCGAAAATCCAGTCTTAAAAATGATGACATTCTCATATTCAAGAAACGCTCCGATCTGGTTAACACAGTGAACTGGAAACGCTCCGGTAGTCTAGATCTGTTTAGGAAATATATAGCTTGCCTTTCCTTTTCAGGAAGAGAAAGAAAAGATCTATTATACCCCTTGGCATCAAAAGAAGAAAGATTAATTCACATATAAATTTTCTTTTTTTTATAGTTTTATGATTTAGCACACATGTAGGCATGACATCATCTAATGTAGGCTTAAATCAGCTAGTTGCACGTTTAGCACCACCAGGTTCAGATGTTTCAATTTGCCTAACAAGTACAACACGAATTTGAGAGAAAGATTCGATTCGGAACTCTTCTCTAATAATCTGAAAATGATATCAAAACAAAATGGTAAGAGCGTTTCTATAATTGTGCTCTAAATCGACGGAGCGTTTCGAGGAAAACAAGCGATTTCTTGAGAACAAGTAATGCATTTGGACTGGGATTTTAGGAAATGAGAATATACGAGTTTGTGATCTACTACTTTAACAGAAAGATTAACGTTTTCATAGAAATACTAGTTTAATTCGTAATTTGTGGTCAAATCGTCATCTTCAGATTCGTTCGATCTACACTACGGAGCTTTGATCAAGCAAATAACAGTTTACCACCAGAAGTTGAATAAATAAGATCTTTGGTCACGGTATTGTTCATCGAATGGTACATAATATTTCACCATAACATATGATATGTAAGAGAAACGAGAGAAACAATACTGACGGTCATAGTGAAATCTTCATTAGCCGCCATTTTATTTCGCTCTGGAGCGTTTCCGCGTAAATGAAACGCTCCGTCGTGCATGTAGGAGCGTTTGGGTTATACACCGTGATATTCATGCTTAGATAATACATCAGTGTAATTCCATGCATATGCTTATGCAGTACATTAGTGTAGTTTTATATACAAGCTTGGGTGGTACATTAGTGTAGTTTCATACACATGCTAAGGCGGTACATTATAGGCCTAGTGTATTTTCATATACATGCTTATGCAGTACATAAGTGTAGTTTTATATACAAGCTTGGGTGGTTCATTCGTGTAGTTTCATATACATGCTAAGGCGCTACGTATACATTATACTAGTGTATTTTCATATAAATGCTTAGGCAGTACATTAGTGCAGTTTCATACACAAACTTGGACAGTGCATTGGCGTAGTGTTATAAACATGCTTAGACAATGCTTAAGGGTATTATACACATAGTTGGAAAAAGAAAGATGTATATTTTTTATTTAAGGTGCTATGGAAGTTAACAGGAAATGACAAAACAGGAAGTGACAATTTTTTTTGCATTTTTAGATATTTTTTGAATAAAGGTAACAGAGTTCAGGTTTGACCTCCAGTCAATTTAACTATTTCCACATATCATTTACATGACCAGGATCACAATGTGTATGGACAGAATGACCCTAAACATGATGAAATAACCTTTTTAGCCCTTTGAAAGTGTGACTGAAAAAAGCTAAGAGTAGGAGCGTAGGGATACTCACTGAACAGAATCTTTTGAATTTTGCAGAAAATGTGCCCAATATAATGCTTTAACTGATACAATCTTTGAAATTTTAGAAAATTGTCGGAAACAAAAATGGCGGTCATAAAAAGGAAAATAGATCGCTTTTCAAATCAGTTTTTTCCTTTTTTTTCTTTTTCTATGAATGATATCAAATTTTCAAAGATTGTATCGTTTGGAGCAATATATTGGGCACATTTTCTGAAAAATTCAAAAGATTCTGTCCAGTGACCTTCCCTACGCTCCTACTTTTAGCTTTTTTTCAGTCACACTTTCAAAGGGCTAAAAAGGTTATTTCATCATGTTTAGGGTCATTCTGACCATGCTCATTGTGATCCTGGTCATGTAAATGACATGTGGAAATAGTTAAATTGACTGGAGGTCAAACCAGAACTCTGTTATCTTTGTTCAAAAAATGTCAAAAAATGCAAAAAAAATTGTCACTTCCTGTTTCGTCATTTCCAGTTAACTTCCATGGCACCTTAAGACAAATTGTATCAAGTAGCAGGTTTGCCTGTTGAGGCAAAATATTCGATGGGGTAATCATTGGATGTTTCTTTGGGGAAAGAAAGTGAGAATAAGGGCCAATACGGAAAAGCTCGAATAAGACTGCCAATGATAATAGTGTAGAGAGGTATTGCATGATGTTTTTTGTAGAACCTATCCATATCCTCATCTCGGTGGGTGTTAAAGTAAACTTTTTCGGCATATTTTCGATCTGCCATCTAAATGCCTACTCTGATTTTAATACTACTACTAATTCTACAGTTTACAGTTGATACTACTTATACTACAGTTTCCTATAATTTGATTGCCTCGATTTATGTCAAGCATTAAAGCAATTCATTTGCTATATTAAGTTATAGTGTATAACACCAAGTGCCTGCAAACATACTGATGATTTTATGTACAATTTGAATTATCAGATTGATTTGTTTTTGCGGTAATCTCGAATACTGTAATTTTACAATTTTTGCAAAAGACGGTAATTTTATGGTAGCTTTTAAAAATGGTGGACGAAAATGCACGTAGCATGGTTGTAAAATTGCTCTGACATATTTTAAAAATAGGCTGTATTTATTTTTATCTGTATTGTATTCAGTCCAGAACGCAGTTACCCTCTGCGCCAGGGATCGGAAAACACGGTTGGAACGCGATGATCTGTCTGGGAACGAGTAAGAATTGGTTCGATTAAATGTTTCACGTATTGGGAACGAGGTAGAACTAGTTAAAAACGGGCTTAAACTGTTTTGAAACCCCGGGTCAGAAACGCTGTTCAAATAACAATTTAGGCTAACCTTACCCCCTATCACTCCAAACCTTCTCAACCATTCTTTCAAGTATTACCCTACTATCACACCGAACTAGTTCTCACTACGTTCTCGAAAACGGGCTTCAACTGTGTACGAACGGACAGGACGTACTCGGAACCGTTTGGGGTCTAGTTACAAACTTCATCGAACGTACTTGAACGGGTAGGTCCTCTAGAACTAAGAACATCCTAAAAATGCTCTCGTGGTCGTCACGTTCTACAATTAGAACGAGTGACAACGTACTAACGACGAGCTGGACGTACTACGAACGGAACCGTCGTACTTCAATCCTACTAGGGACGTTTTAACAACGAGTTGAACTGTCTGAGGACGTATTGAGAACGAGGTAGAACTAATTGCAAACGGGTTCAAACTGATTAACAACGTATTAAAGACTACTTATGACCGAGTTAGCAAAAATATAGCTATCACACCAAACAAGTTGCCACTGCGTTCTTCAAAACTGGTTTTAAACTGTCTAAGGACTATTTACCCTACTATCACACCAAACTAGTTCTCACTACGTTCTCGAAAACGGGCTTCAACTGTGTACGAACGGACTGGACGTACTAAGAACCGTTTGGGATCTATTTACAAACTTCATCGAACGTACTCGAACGGGTAGGTCCTCTAGGACTTAGACAATGCTCAAAATGTTTTCGTGGTCGTCACGTTCTACAATTAGAACGAGTGACAACGTACTAACGACGAGCTAGACGTACTACGAACGGAACCGTCGTACTTCAATCCTACTAGGGACGTTTTAACAACGAGTGGAACTGTCTGAGGACGTGTTGAGAACGAGGTAGAACTCATTGCAAACGGGTTTAAACTGATTAAGAACGTATTTAACACTGCTTATGAACGAGTTGGCAAAAATATAGCTATCACACCAAACAAGTTGCCACTGCGTTCTTCAAAACTGGTTCTAAACTGTGTGCGAACGGAATGAACGTAACTGCAACTTTCTAAGGTCTATTTACGAACTTTATGAACGTTCTCAGACGGGAATGTGATTTTAGAATTTTGAATCGATTCAAAATTCGATTCCGACCATACCGTTCTGTTATCAGGTCATGATGACCTTCTAGACTAAGGGACGCGTTCTACGGCGTTGCACACCGAGGTGGTGCGACCTGAACGAACTGCGAACGAGATGGACGTATTGAAGACTGTTTAAGAACGAAGAAGCTAATTATTTCAGACATATTTCCCGACCACAGCCAGTTTGAGCCCGTTTTACGACGTTTTCGTAGGACTGGCAAGAACGGGTAAGAACGAGTTTGGTGTGATAGGGGGGTAACGAACTTCATGAACGTTCTCAGACGGAAAGATGATTTAAAATTTTGAAATAATTCAAAATTCGATGACTGGCAAGAACGGCTAAGAACTAGTTTGGTGTGATAGGGGGGTTACAAAAGATTCGTAAAACTTGCTAAATCTCTAAATCTGGCTATGGTCGAGTATTATGTTTAGAGTTTTACGACTTTTTGTGGGACTGGAAAGAACGGTTGAGAACTAGTTTGGTGTGTGTGGGGGGGGGGGTAAAAAGTATATCTCATTTGCACAATTCACACGTGCATCGATTTTTACCGGAAATGGTGTATGAGTAAACTAAATGTGAATTAGAGGATTTTGAATGTTATAGGTCAAACAAGCAAGCAAGCAGGGACGATACCGATAACATTTTAAATTTTGGATGTGTATCTATGGGCCCCTTCTTCAAATGAATCGAACTCCGTGGCAGTGCTAGTCTTCTATTCCGACACACTGCATGGGAGTTTGCAAATGAAGTAGGGGCACATTTGGAATGAACCCATTTTTGCACATTGTATACAGATAATACTTCTAATATTGTATCAAGATAAATGAATGAATAAATATATGTAAGTCTTGTAAGCCTCCTTATTTTGACGTCACTTCCAAACATTCGTAGTGAAGGATCATTTTTCCAAGCTTTGTCGACTAACATTAATCACGTGATTTTTTTATTTCATTGTTACATGATCGAACACACTTATACTCAGATGCGAGTAGGTAGTTACTAGTTTCGCCACCAGGTGGCTGATTCGGGGGAAATAACATGGCAGGGTATTACAAAATTCCCTTAAACTTGAATATACATCAGTTTTAGTGGTTCACTTTTCAAATTACCCTTATAGTGTATGTGATAGTTATACAAATTAAAATATGTCCAGTAAAAGGAAATATTATCTGCCCAACACAAGAAAAGTTATTTCACTTTTTGTAGTTTTACAGCATGGGGTCTATGGGGAATCTCCCCGACCTAGAAGTCACATTTTCAAAGAAAATTAAATTTTCAAAGTTGATAAACTCTCAAAACAACAGTTTTAGATGTAATTGTATATGTAGATTCCAAATATGACACCAGTTTGACTAAATTGTGAATTTTTAATGACGTAAATCAAGATTATTTCTACTCGCATCTAGGATATTGAGACATGTGTTTTGCGTCTATGCGCACGCGCCATATGTGCTTCCGCTATTTACAATTCCGAACACCTCGATAGTCGATGTTAGTTACTGCTTAATCACGGTGTTATAGCATTACGGTTACGTCAAGGCGATTTGCAAAATTTTGCGGTAACGATAACAAAAAATGGCGGATGGGAAAGACAGCATGTCCTCTTTCTCGCCTGTAGGCAAGATTCACAGATAATATTTCCATTTCAACTAGTTCCATTCGGTGATGTTTATATGGATGGTTATAAAGACTGGGTCAGACCTGCCAGGTGGTTTACTAGAAGCA